AGTAGGAAATAGTTGCTGGATGTAGCAGTATAAAAGCTTGAAATAAGAAAGCAAATTGAAAGTTGTTTCGGTTCTAACAAAGACATACCTAGATAATATTTGTGAGATTATGAAAAATAAATGCGGCAAATGTTTTATTGATCAGCGATAAAGCTGTATTGATTGGAACGGTGTTATTCATAGCAGCACCGTTTGCCAATAATAAAGATAACAAATCTTCTCCAAATGATTTTGCAATTGCTGTTAAATTGTTTTCTCGCTCTCCGGAACAGATTTTTTGTAACATTTTGTAACTGAATATTGAATAAGGACTGATGGTATTCCAGTACGAAGTTAATTTATGAAAGAGAATGCTGCGTATGCCAAAAAAGGCACAAAGTAGGTTGTTGTAGAAATGCAATCCTTGTGAAGTGAGTATGCTGTAACTATGAATATTTTAAAGCAAGTAAAATGTGTTTTGAGAAGTAACTGCATAATAACGTAGATAATTATAGTATTTTTTGGAGGTAACGGAGTCACACACCTCTTCCCCATTAACATTAGTAGTGAAAGATAATGGACATTGACAAACGTGGTTAACTGCGATAAATGGAAGCCAAAAAATGTTGACGCACCATTTAGCACAAATTATTCACATTACGGCAATGTCTGGAATGATTACCGTTGGTCTACGTAACATTATTTCAGCAACTTTAACAATTTGCACTAAGATTATGAATTTAAAACAATCTTAATTTCACAAAGATAACTATACAAAAATTGTGATATTAATAGAAATATTTAGCAGCTACCATTAAGTTAGATAATCCGTGAAATTATTAGGAATTGAAATGACGAAATTATTTGAGTCAGTATTTGGTTCTCATAAGAATTTCAAGCGTTGCGAAAAGGTAAAAATAATTTGTTTAGGTATGATTAGACCGGTTTTTGTACAGGACGATGGCATCAAAATGTGTAAAGTTCGATGAATAATAATAATACAGGAATTCCAATGATAATAATAGTGTTTACATCAACATGGTGGGTCTTTGTAGCTGGTAATATGCGGGCGCGAATTAATTTGTCTAGCAATTCCACTTTTGTAGTGGTAGCGGTTCGATATTCTATGGAATTCGATTTAACTACGTATAAAGATTGGTTTCGTTACCTAGTTGAATTTAATTCCATTTTATAGCGAAGATGTTTTATGTTTAGGCCTTTGTTTGTAGGTACATAAAGCTATTTTAAATCCTAAAAGAAAACTGCATTACTTCTTCTATCCTTCTTTTTATTGTTTTGTATTTTTCAAGGTGATATTTCTCATCACCTATAGTATCGTCTTCTGGAAACTCGAATAGGTATTTATTAGTCCTTTCACGCCTTCGTCTCTTTCTTCGTTCTAGGGCTACAAAATATTCGTAACTTAAACGTAAAATAACGCAATCATTGTGCCATTATTAAACCATTATTTTTATATAGTTCGCACACGCGATCTACATCCGTGCTTTGCAATTATGACTGGCCACCATAAACCGACGTTTTACCATAGCCATAAGTTGCACATTTTTATTCCACAATAGCGAGTTAACGTTTACTTCATTCAACCTTAAGTCCTTCGTTTTATAATGCACATAATTAATTTCCTGTGACACATCAGTTCCTTTAAAAATCGCTAAAGCTAGTCATTAAACAGGTACTTCAATAGACGAAAATATAATCATTAATTCATTATGCTTCCAGACAAAGAAATCCTCAATGGTCTAAGTATATGTAATACATAATTATGATATTCAAGACTATAGACAAGCCACACTGGGTGGCTATTTTGTTTACAAAGAGCTTTCCACCAATCAAGTCCAAGAGGGAGATAGGTCAAAATAGAAATGAAAATTCGAAATGTCTCAAAAACCATGTGGATTCCAACCAAGCAACCAAACCATGTGGATTCATTAGGAATGAGCAAATTGTGCGCACAGTAGGGATTTGCTAACGGTTTGTAAGCAGGCCACAACAACGGCGCCAGTTATTTAGTAGCATTTTGGAAACCCGATGCAGAATTTGAATGCTACAATCCTCACGTAACATTCTACTTTTAGACCGGTATCAGTAATAAGCGGTTATTTAGAAATTGCGATCGGGCGGTTAATTGTTTCCTTCAACGATTCAGTCAACGCAAAAGTTGGAGCGTGCCGAATAATAAAAAGCAATGCTTCTGTTTCTATACCAAATCAAGCATAAACTAGCCAGATGATTAACCAAAAAAAGATAAGTAGTCATTACGACAAAATACATACACTAATATTTATTGCGCAGTCACGTAATTTAATATAGTAACGGAAATTGGAATAGGAACTTATTCCGTGTGACATTTGAGAAGCAAAAAATAACTAATACGTTTAAAATTATATGTTCACATGTCTATCTGGTTATTAGATTACTTGTGTAGTTATAAGAAGTACGAGACTGAAATCCTAGACTTTTCAAAGTAGAACATTAGCTGTTAGCCGACCGCAAGAATAACATGAGAAGCGGTTCTTATTAACTATTCGAAATTGTTAGTAAATATAAATTAAATGTGGGCTGAATATTTAGTCCAATTTTCTTTAAAATGAATGGTTGGGGATTTGTCCAGAATATACAAAGTCCAAAGGGAGGGTTTTTGTACAGCAGTTGCGGCTGATAACGATGATGAACTAACTCTAGGATCTATTAAAGGATAGACTCTTTCTTCGATGGTCTCTGTTCACTTGCCATTGTCAAAGTCCACGACTGGATATCAAATATTTGATACATTTATGAAACAATTCACATCACGTCACATATTTTGGTTTTATCTTACAACTTGCGAAGTTGCGACGATCTCCATTGTATTAAAGCTCGCATCTAACAAATTAATTAAGAAACGACAAAAACTCGTATCCGAGCGATACAACAAGTGGATTGTACCTACAAGCTTAATTAGAGATGTCTAAGTGCGATCGGTATTGTACACATGACGTAATGTGGCCTATTGCGCGCTATTGCATATTTGCTGTCCATAGAAACCGTGAGCGATAAAACATAGACTAGCCATATTTGTTTTGTTCACCTTATACTGTGAGAGAACAATGTAGGTTTATTCCACGGTGCTTAGTACAAGTGTTAACTCTACGCAATTTGTCGTCATGTTGTGTTATGCTAAGTCTGTCGATTGCTATTCTAAAAGTTTATGTAATTGAGTCCAATTGAAAGAATGGATACAAAAATTGTTATTGTATTTACGAGTATGTAATGGGCATTGGGAAAAGTTGGTAAGGAGAATGGGTGGACCTGCTCTAGAACTCTGAAACAGGACTCAATTCTAATGTCTACAAGAGCGAAAGATCAAGAACCTTCTCTTTGTTTCAGTGGCTATTGTTTATTGGACCTTCACAAATTCCCGAGTAAACTTTCGCCGCTTTTCGACTCTTGATATAAAATGAAAGTTTCAGATATTTTAAGTTTGCACGCCATTAAATTATGAGTTAAGGTATGTACGATTCTGAAAAGATTTTATCAGTACCTACGTGGAAGAACCGTTCTTAGAATATAAGTATAGGCGGAAATTGAAGAAACGTAAAAAACGGCAACCGAAATTGTCGAGCCTTTTTTTCTACTATTTTGAGGATTTATAATTGCGTCGAAACACATCGTTTATCGTCATTAATCTCTGAGGTGCTCGTGGTTGCAAGGTGAACATGATTCGCGGAGTAGGAGATGCAAAACGTGACCCGAAGTTCAATTTCGGTCTTTAGTTATGAATGGCTATTTTATTTTATTCTGATCACTTTTATTATAAGAAAAACCCCGTTCGTTCAACACATAGAAATCTGCAGAATCTAAAATGATGAGGAAAGCTGTGAGAATGATAACTAAGTATTTTATAAAATACTTCGGCACTCGATATTTCAAACTCATACTTCCAATTTATCATATCCATGATTATTACGATTAGAGTTACATGAAAATATTATATTCTCCTACAGATACATAGCCGCACCTACCTAAACCACAAGCTGAAGGTCTTTATAATGGCAAAACATACTTATTGAATATTTATTCCATTAGGCGCAGTGGGTGGTGTACTTTAACAAAATATTTTTAAGGAGTACCGGACTAATTTATTTCTGTGAGAAGTTTAAGTTACATTGGCTGTGTATCATTCTACGACATGGAATATTAGAAAACAATACTCCGTTTTGGAATGTATGTAGGCAGCGTCAAGTCATCACAAAATCAGAATTTTCTAAAAGGACCTTCGCTGAGAACCTGTTTTTATTTTACACATTTTTAAATAATCGCGCTCTCATTACACTACTGGGGGATATGTGAAAATCGGATATCAATTAAATTATATTTTATAAGACTCACCTTCGTAAATCTCCATGTCGATTCCGGCCAAAAAAAATGAAAAGTTTCTAAAATAAATCGTTTCTATGACGACGCATGACAGCAAAACTCTATTTGGATTCCTATTGGTTTCTGTCAAAAATTGAATGTCAAACACGGCAAGGCAAATGTCAAACACAAACCATAAACAAATAATTCCAATAGGACTGCTCTTGACTTTTTGAAAGTTCTTACGTGGAATAAATATATAATAAGAATTTAATTAATTTTTATCTTATGTTGTATATATTTAATTTAGTAATAGTTATTATTAATTTTATTTAAGTTTTTATTAAATTATATTCCCTGAATAAAAATGACATCTAATAAGAAAACTTTATTTATAACTGATAATAACTGAAATGTTGTAACTTTTATATTTTCATCACTTAGATTGATTTTAGGAACTAGTTTCATTTTTTATCCTTATTACATCTACTATTATTAATTACACACACTAAAAATAATAAATAACATAACTAGGAACCTATAACCACATTGTTTCATCTCTTCATCTTTACATATTTTAAGAAGATATTGGAAATCAGATCTTATGTACGTTCTACTAACAAATGAGAGTCAAATAAAAGATATAAGAAAAATAAAATTTAGTAATCCCCGATACAGTAAAACTAAACGCAAAAAATAAAAAGCGGTACGTCACTACTTAGCAAAGAAAAAAATTGGAAACGTTGACGTGCGTATGGTCATCACTCAGTATTTCTCTAGAATTTGTGTTTTTTCATTTTAAATCTAGGAATTTGGTTTTTTAAATAGTTGATAATAACATCTGATACCAAAATTCACAATGGGCTTAACAATCTCAAGTGTTTTTACTAAGCTTTTCGGCAAAAAACAAATGCGTATCCTTATGGGTAAGTGACATGACAGCTCATCGGTCTTGGATTGCGTAGAATTTCTATACATTTTTATGACATCGTCATTGTTTTCTTGTACCGATAATTTCTTGATAGTTTAATGCAAGGGATATTGTTGCAGTTGGACTGGATGCCGCTGGAAAAACAACTATACTATATAAACTTAAGTTGGGAGAGATTGTGACCACAATACCGACGATCGGTTTCAACGTGGAAACAGTAGAATACAAAAACATTAGTTTTACTGTATGGGACGTCGGCGGTCAGGACAAGATCAGGCCACTGTGGCGTCACTACTACCAGAACACACAGGGACTGATCTTCGTCGTGGATTCAAGTGACACTAAGAGAATAGCAGAAGCCGAAAATGAGCTGGCTAATATGGTAAGCATAGACTAAGACAGTGTTGTTCTTATTGATCTCTAGATATTCTTAAAAAAATAACAAGTGTAACCTATTTTATGCCTTAGAATTCTGTTTTTTATGTATGCTAAGTTGCATCAGCTATTGCATTTAAATTTATAAAAACGAAAAATTCTTATAAGAATCAGTTTAACTTTTTTATTGGCTCTTCAATAAAAAAGACCTTGGAGTTATTTAAAAAAAACTACTCATTTATACTGACAATGTTTTCCTTCACAGCTAAAAGAAGATGAATTGAGAGATGCTGTGATCCTTGTGTTTGCCAACAAACAGGACATGCCCAATGCTATGACAGCAGCTGAACTTACTAATGCTCTCAACCTAAACAATTTGAGAAATCGCCGCGTAAGTATAACTAGTACAAGAATATTCACTTACAAGTAGATAGCATTATTGTTGTCGGTTAATAATGGTATTACTTCATCCACAGTGGTACATCCAAGCCACATGTGCAACACAAGGACAGGGGCTGTATGAAGGTCTAGACTGGCTCTCTAACGAGCTAGCGAAGAAGTGAGAACCATTTTGGCAAACGGTCACTGGGAACAGACTACAAACATTCCCGTAATGACTGACAACTTTCAACAATGTGATCGTTGTTCATTCTACAAATACCTAAAAGACTATGAAAATTTTATGTAATTATACAAGTAATGTCTTTTTACTACTACTAGGCTGAAGGCTCTTTTCACAATGTTTTGCCGAAGCTATTTATTTATAATTTAGCTAGATATATATATAAATGATATTGTGAAAATGGCCCCATATAGTTATTTAATGGTCCATATAATCATTCAAAATATAGTTTCATCAGTTTCCTATTATATCTGTAGAGTAGATTTTCACATAAATCTTATGTTTGTTATATTAAAGTATTAATGGGAGTATGTTGATTATATTCTCACAACGTTGAAATGTAATGAAATGATGCAATAATAGTAGTATTCGTAATGTTTGTAATAATCCCACTCTTGTCTATACTAAATTTTAAGAGTTGTTCTGTCTATAAGTAGAAACTAACTAGTGAAATAAACTGAAGGAGTTTCAATATTTCAACATAGCTTGCACAACTACTAAGTGTCACTGACAATAATGAACCATTTACTTTGGAGAATCCTGCAGAGCATGTAAACATAAATTATTATTCTATATTAACTTTAGATGTATTTATAATTAATGTTTAAAAAAAATTCTTTTAGTGAATAAGTTTATTAATTAATACAAGTTTTGTATTTGTGAAATATGTGTGCACTGAATATTATAACAGATACTAACATTTTAATGTGATCCATCTTGATTTATTAAAGTTAAATGTTACAATACATATTATGTAAATAATGTAAGATGAATCGGCCAAAAATATTATAATGTCCTGTGTCATGTCATGTTGTATGCTTTAACATTATAATTTATGCTTTGCAAGTTTTGTTAAAGTATATTACTATAGTGGCAAATAAAGGTTAGGTGTAAATAAAATTGTCTTTTCATTCTGTTAACATTTTGTCTTCCAGTATTATTTTTAAAAGTTACTTACAAAGTACTCAAGTACTTCGTTATCATCTTGCTTTTTCCACTATCCAAACTAAATTAAAAATGTTTTCTTGTAAAATAAAACCTACAACGGTCTTTATCAGTGCCATTATATAGATAAACACATGAATGTGTAAGTAATTAACACTATTCTCGAACATTCGCGATAACCGTTATTCGTGAGTCCAAACTGCTTTTCTTTTTTCAACAAAACTCTTGATACCTTCTTGCCCATCATTAGAGTTAATATTCTGAACCATAATATCCTCTCCCAGCTTGTAAGCATCCATCAGACTTAAGTCAATTTGTTTGTAAAAGAATTCTTTACCAAGAGCGATAACGCTCCGACTTTTGTGTTTGATTTTCTCAATAATTTTGTTAACTTCTTCGTCTAATTGGCTTGCTGGAACTACTTTCGTGACGAGTCCACTTTCATAGGCTTCTTGAGCAGTTATGGGTTCACCTGAAATTTTACATAGGTAATTGGGTTGGTACTTGAATCACAATTTATTTCTACTTATCAAAAAACTAAAAAAAAAAAACAATCGCCGCATGTTTTAACTGTTTAAGAAGTCTTCAATGATTGTTCTTTCACGTCAATATCTAGGTACCACTTTACAACATGGAGACTTAATTCCTATGCATGTTGTTAAGTACAGCGTGAAATGGCACTGATAACGATATATTTCCAGATTTCTTCAGTACATTTTAATAACGAGCTATAAAAAGTAGCTAGTAGGTATAAAAAATGATAAAGTCAAAGCATTTATTTCAATGAATCATTAATTAGGCACTTTTAAAACATCAACAATTGAATTGTCCGTCTGTTTGTCAATGAAGCTAGACGCTCGTTCCAAAGTGTAGTTTCGAATGTAAAAGAACAAGCAAGAGACTCCTTCGTTAATCTTAAAAAAAAGATTAGGTGGGTACCTGTAAAGAGCATGTATGTAGCCCTAGATTTAGGAACACATCGTCCTACAGCTATCCCAGGTGTTGAGCAAAATATGCCAAAGTTAGCTCTGAAATAATTGAATAGTATAAAAAAAATAAACTTTATAATGTTGGTTATAAAGTTTATAATCAGTTGTTTACCCAGGTGTGGAAAATTTGCTCGTGTCTGAACATACAATCATGTCGCAGGTGGCGACTAACTGGCACCCTGCTGCCGTAGCGAAGCCATTTACCTAACAAAATGTTTAATGAAAACGAATTGTTATTTATAAAATGAAATTATTCTTATAACCAATAATCAAGTAAGCATTAGGTACTAGGTGTGATGTTTATGTGAAACAAAAAATACAGACAAGCAAAGAAAAGCGCGAACTGAAATACACAAGATAAAAGTACACTATATAAATGATTTATTATGGCCCATGGGCCATGTATTAAATTAGCAGGTTCTATGTACTTTTAACTCTAGGTAGGTGTGTTAGAAACAAGCACCACAAGAAATAAACATATGAATACACACACATACACAGGGATGTTGTTTTAAGAGTGAATTTTATTACCAAGAGTTTATTTGAATAAAACCGCCAATTCAAAATATAGAAAAAAAAAACATACGGGTCGAATTGAGAACCTCCTCCTTTTTTTGAAGTCGGTTGAAAATAACCTGAGGCCTTAGTACGAGTTTCTTTTTCGTATAAAGTAATCGTGACGAGTACGCGTTCGGCGCTGCGATTGGCCGGCTCTAATGAACCAACCAATCAGTTTTTGATTTACGTTTAAAGTATTCGAAATGAGTATGCGTTCGGCACTCTAATTGGCCGGCACCAATCAGTGCGTTCACCATTTAAAAGAAAAACAAACTTGGACTAAGGCCCCTGTATGCCCGAAAAGGTAATAAATTTTAAGATGAACTTAAATATCGTGCCATCTCTGTCATTTAATATTTTACAAAGAATTTGTAGTGACAGAACTATACTTAAGCGCGACTTTAAATTGAGTGGTATTTGAGTATTTGAACATTAATGTTGTTAGTGTAAAAATGCATAATATGGGTCACCGAAAATAAGACTTGTTAGATTTTAGTGCTAATGAGCTTTATTAGTACTTAAATGAATAAACACATGGTTATTACACATACAATATGAATGGATTAGTACCTATAGTACATTATAATGTATTTATACCTTAGCAATAACTGGTACAGGACTCTGTATTATAGACTTCATCAACTCGCTCGCTTTACTAAATATCAGTTTGTGTTGATCTACACCTGTGTTAGCCTGCTACAAATTGAGAACACCGATTAATTAATAGTTAAACACGTACTTATTCTAATTTTATGATTTGAAACCTCCTTTCATAGGTAGGTTTTATACTATAGATAACTTCTATATTTTAGGTATTTAATACTTAATGACAACCTATTTTTTATCTCATTGTAATGTCTAGAGATATTTTGCAAATCAACAAAATCTTACATAAATACAAATGAGGACAGTAAAGGGAACTATCTCTTCACGAACTTACCAATTCTTTCAAATTATGACCAGCAGAAAACACGTTCCCTTTAGCACTTAAAACTATGGCTCTCAACGATTTATCATCCTTGTTCGAATTAATAGCTTCAATAAGATTACTCATCATTTCCAAAGACAGCGAGTTTCTACACAAAAATATCATAAAATGCTTAAAGTCTATTATTATCTTGAAATTACAATTAAGGATACATTATTATTGTTCAATACAAACTTTGTTTTCTCATGGTTAAGAGTTATTTCTCGTGTGCCATTATTTTCATTTGTGACTAGATACTGGTTATGTAGACCACGGCAATACACATATAGTGGTCTTATATACCTATTCTGAAAGATAAAATATAGTCAATATTTTAACATCAAAATGTATGTAATAATATCGTACTTTTTAAATACTACTATTCTAATGTACTACATTATTTATTTTACTTATGGTCTAAATATGTTTCATAACAATGGCGTAACAATATTTATATTCGCCAGATGGGTTAAGTATAGCCTCCGATTACAAACAAACATGTGGTTTTATGAGCCCCTGTTAGAGCTCGAAACTAGTCGAGTACCCTCCCGAAAGTAGTAGAGAGAGTAAGTTGTCTGCACTAATTAAATCGCAGTGATACAAGAACAGATGTATCTTAGTAGTTAGTAGTCTTAAAAATTCATAAATTCAATAGTCCTATGGACAATGAACTCTTCAAGACTGTTACGCCAATGTTTAATTAATCGAAATACAAATGCAATCAATTGTACTTTGAACTGCATTGAATATTGACTAATGACTAGGCCATTAAACAAAGTTTAATAAGTACTATAATATTGTCGTTTCTCCCAGGACGGCCAATAAAGGCAAGCCTAAGTTGTCAAGAAAATATAGTCTTCTAAAATAATGATTCAATTAAATATCTCACACACACAATAATTTTTCTACTGTTGTGTCAAAAAGAAATCATATAGGAAAGTTTATAAACACAGTTATTTAATAACTTAATTATTTTTGATATAGGTACTTAAGTACCTTTTTAGGAAAGTTCTAAATATTAAAGGGTATACAAATCTTAGAGATCAAAAAGGGTTAAATAGGTTCTTACAATTAAAGTAGAAATATTATATAAAAACTTAAAACTATCCCTGCTTTTTATTTGAGAAATTCTCATATAAAGGGGAACAGTTCGAAATAATATATAGCTTACGTTATGGACATATACATTAAATAGGTAGGTATTTAAATATACCTAAAATACTTAGACTTTTGATCAGTGTATAATCAGTCGATAAATTCTGTATAGTAATAAAAAATAGGTATAGTTGTAAAAGTAATTTGACCCACCTGCAGTGGACTTAACATTTTTCTTCACAATATTACAAAATATCTTAGAATTTAGGTATTAATTTATAAAAATCTAAATTCGGTTCATAACCAAATAAAATCAACTTTTATCAAAATATCAAAACAAGTTGTTATCATTGAGCTGTCAAAATGGGGTTGTTAGACTAAAAAATCACAAGTTAAAATAAAAAACGAAAAGTAACAAAATTTCAACTGTGTAATAAATAAATAAAATAAAAATGTAATTAACGTCGCCAGGACCTACGTGAGTCATATTCGGACCTGTCTGATTCCGAATCATTATCCGAAATAAAATCTAAGCATTCGTCCTCCGCCGTGATTAACTCCATGACAGCACTGAAACAAAATACATTTATTTAGACGTTTACTAATTAACTGTATCTTTCAGAAATAAAACAATGCATCTATCGTAAAATTATTTCAAAAATATTATGCTCATATAATTGGCGTTGCTAATTTTGATAACCTTGTCTGATTATAACCTATGTTAAAATATGTTGCCAGGTCTAAATAAAAATATTTGAAATGAATTTTCTTTTACAACTACGTAGGTCGTAGGCTATTTTAGATAATACTTATTGATTACTTATCAGATTATTTTAGGAACTTCAATTAATAAATGTGGAGGACAGTATGTCACATAGCCTTCGTTTTAACCTTGACTATGACCTCGTTCGTTCATGGTCGGCCTCGGTGCTGAGGCCACGACTAAATCAAGGTTGCTTATGTTGCGTGGCCTCCCTGATATAAATATTCGCAGATATCATGCACAGATGATGCGTATAAACCGCGCCAAATTCAATAGCACTTTTTTATAACTATTATGATGTAAAATGTGCGAAGTCAATACGACTTCATAATTCTATTATTTGATCATGATATTTGATAAATTTTGTGGCAAATCCTTATTAATATTATAAAAAGAAATATGTGTTTGTTTGTCATTCTTTAACGTGTCGCGTCGATTTATTTCTAGACTTAGGATGTGGAATGATATAAGCAATTTATTTCCTTTGAACTTGTGGGTGAAGCTTTACTTAACAGTTAGTAAGACCTAGCTAAAATCATAATAATATAATAAGTACTCACTCCAATACTTGATTTTCGAAGACATTTCCACTAGCTGTATTAATGTTTGAGCTACTGATCTTAGCCGCCAATACTTGATCCAATAAAGACCGCAGTTCCCACAGAAGATCCATAGTAGTCTTGTTGCAGCTTACTTTAATATTGGATATCAAAATGCAGTAATTTGATGGGTCAGGAGCTAAAAATAATATTGTATTTGTGAATTGATTTGCTTTGCTTATTTTTTACTGCCTAGTTTGAGGGTTTGTGTTTAAAGTTTAGGTGAGACGAAGAATATTTTTTTTCGGTTTGGTTGTTTATTTTTACAAAATAAACCCAGAAGCACGGACGCATGCAACGCGCATTTCTCCACCTCTGGTTCTACAGAATGCAAATATAGGCCATGAAAATTGCTTTCCACCAGATAGATCAGATCCTAAACCTGTTCACGGTGTATGTTAAAACTGAATACGGAGCCGCGGAGAACATAACGGGTTCCCGAGGCTCCGGTTCGAAGTGCAGGATTAGAAACGGGGTGGTTTTAGTCAGTAAGAGTCTAACACTGAAGGCGGGAGAAGCCATTCGATGATTATCCCCCTTAAAAAAAACCTGTTTTAGAGTATACAAAAATAGGCAAATACATTTCCAACACTCACCTTCAGTTATCGCCAATTCTCCAAAGAACAAGAAAGGCAAAGTATAGATCAGGGTTACATCAAAGAGGAACAGGTCTGATGATCGTTGCTTAAGCCAGTAGACAAGCCAGGTGGCTCCAGGGCTGTCACACACTGGGGCGAGGGGGTATCCACGTCCTGGTGGGTAGCTCTTAAAGGCCATTACACTGCTTGGGTGCAAACTCACTGAGCCATCTTCTGGTGTCCTCACCTTCAGACGGGGGTCTAGGAAACGTTTACGAGCATTGATTTTCTTCCACCTAAAATAAAATAGCAAATATTTAAAACTTTCCATTCTGTAATTGTACAAGTAAATGTTGTGCCTACATGATAATGTTTACTGAAGATATTTGCATAAAAAATACTGATTAAGACACAGAGTTAGATGAAAGGTCTATAGATGACAATGATGTGGGTTTGTGATTACTTACTTCACAGTCGCAATATTAGGGTACAGAGAGGCCGCCACTATAGCTTTAAAGAGGCTCAGATTATCCATGTTGCGGTTCTCCCATGGAGACTTGATATCAGCATTACGGAGGAAGCCCATCTGCTTCAAATTATCTGCAAACTGCCGCTTCATATCCGACAATAGTTCTAAAGTGTGGCGGGACAAGAAGTTCTCGTATGCAAAGTTGCGCTTCTCATGGTAAGTGCGGCAATGTTCAAATTGAATGACGGCTTCTGATATAGCCACGTGATCACTCGGCTCGCCTAGAGCTAGAGTGCGTTTCGCTTCATCCACTTCTTTTTCCTTGCCTTGAATGTTACAATAAAGTTAAGCTTCTACTCAATAAGTACCTAATTAGATTCTCTTGTGGTAAGTATTTTGTAGCACTTAATTCTAGATTCAGAAACAAAACTGTAGAATCCATTAAGAACTCCGTCAGTAAGTCAACATACATTCTCAAACCTTACCAATAACAAGTTGGAAGGGGTCCTTAAATCCCCATACGGCAGCGACACTGGCTGCGCGGTTAAGACATCCAAACAATGTGCCTAATAGCAGCAGTTTGCCTGCGGCCGGGTGGACTGGTAGACGAGCTAAGTGCCACCCAAGTGGGGTTAACTTTTCATCGTTGTCTAGAGCACCGATTCTGGTAAAGAGAGAGAATATAATAAAATATTAACGATCATAAAAAGAGGTGATAAAAAAAATTAAATTTTTAGCAATCATTTTCAATTTATGACAAGTTAATTCCCTATTTCCAACAAGACATAGGTCTTGTTGTACATAGGATGTCAAATTTTAAAACATCCCTTTCTTAATTCTTGATGAAAAACGTGTGTAGCATATTCAATATACCCATTCTTGGTCATTATCTTTATTTTTATTTATTCATACAGCATTCAGCGCTGAATTTAATGCTAGCTTTCGTGGTTTCCAAAAGCATTCTACTTACTGAGATAAGCGTTTGACAGCTCGTTCCACAGTGGTTTCAGCGGGAGGAGACGGCATCTTGCTCAAAGCAAGAGATGCTTTACCTAAACGCAACTTCTTTATAGCTAGAACGGGTTCTAATAAGGAGTTCCGTTGTATTTCTGGCAGAAGACGTTCCGCCAGTTGACTGGCTCGGAATGACGTCACCAAATGGTAACATATGCCTGGCTGACAGCGACCAGCTCGGCCACGTCTGTGAAACAAAAGTAACTTTAAAGAATTGGACTAAGGTTGGGATCGGATCGGAATATCAATATTACTGCCTATTGTACTCAAATTACAATAAAATTAAAGTATAAATAAATATTGTTCGTGTGATTAATTTCTACAAAATGGTGCGAGTGGAGTTTTCAAATCAGTAGTACAAAATGGGGAAGCAATTTTAGGATACACAAAGATGTGTTATGAATTTAGTAGCATGCATTACTTACCGCTGCCTTAAATTAGCTTGTGCTACCCACTCTGTACGCAAGGTGGGTATATTATCCTCAATATTCAGTCCACTATACTTAATTTTACCGCAGTCAATAACATATACAATATCATCAATAGTTATAGACGTCTCAGCAATGTTTGTAGCCAGTATAATCTTCCTTACAAAATCTGGGGGTCGCTGGAATATCTTGTGTTGTTCCAAAGATGGCAATTTTGAATGTAATGGATAGATGTCAAAGCGAGATTTTGGGAAATTATTACTAGTTTCAATCATCTTCAAAAGATTCGTTATGTCACCGATGCCTGGCAGGAAAATCAGTACCGCGCCAGGTTCTCCCTTACATATGTATAATAGCAGTTCATAAATTATATTTATGTTCAAGTCTTCAATCCTTGCGTCTTTGAGCACAGTGGACACTTCTCGGGGAAGTTGTTTTTTGACAGACTCAAGCCATGGAGCTATAACAAAGGTAAAACACGTGAATTTGTAAAAAATACTGACTTACAAACGTTTATTTTCAAACTACATGTGCAAGTACATTAGTTTACCCCATACAATAAGAAATCATTAATAGATTTTCGACTTTCCAGACAAACAGGAGAGTGAAAGATCCATTAATTGAACAGTTTTTTACTAAAAAGTTAATAGAAATTCATAAACATGCAGCATCATATTTCGTTTCTAACCAATTTCGGCTTTATATTGTATGTCCCTTTCCATTTCTTGTTCTTTTCGCTTCCATTTCTGTCGTTGGCCTTTGTGGGCCGCTCGTGTGTCTTGGTCAAACGATGGAATGTACCTCGTCATTTGCAGGATATCTTCTAAATAAATATCCTTTACAGGGTAGGCTAGGCCTTCAATATGCATCATTGGACAGTCATCAAAATAAGACCTCAGTCTATCAGCATCTATTGTTGCACTCATTAAAATTAGTTTGAGATCTTTGCGCTGTTTGAGCACCTGAAAAATGGGTATTAAAGCTACAATTTGAGTCCATAAATTTAGCTGTGCCGTAGCTTAAGTAAATATTTTGTTCAGAGTAAAATTTGAGCAGGTTTTACAGTTTAAAGAGTCTGTTAAAAAAAGCATATATACGGTCGAATTGAGAACCTCCTCCATTTTTTGAAGTCGGTTAAAAAATTAAATTAATGGGGTTACTACGAGTATAAAAGCAAATTCGCATATTACTTATTATTTTGTCTAGTTACCTGTTTCAACATTAACATGGATATGTCAATATCGCAGTCTCTCTCGTGTACCTCATCTAGTATCACATGACTATAGTTAGTCAAACCCTGGTTAATTTCCAGTTCCGCGAGTAAAACTCCCGTGGTACAAAATTTTATACTACCGCGTGGTCGTTGATCCACACTAAAAATAGTAGAATGCATAATATAATACAATAATATAACATAATTTTTTAATGTTGTGGGCTTTACTTTATGAAAATAAATAATTAATTGACACATGATTAACTTTTGGGTCAATAAATAATTTCAGCACATGGTCAATGAACAAATTTGGTAAATAAATAAATAAAAAAAAAATATATTTTTAAAACTTTGTGTTACATTTCAATAAAGGAACAGATAATCGTCACAAGCTTTAGAAGAATCATAATCTATAACAAATAATAAAAACGGAAAGAAGTGTTTAATTTTCTGCAATACCAATCTAGAATTTTTGACAATATGTAGTTTGGTAATACTAAAGTTCTTTGAGTTATTTTAGCAGTTTTATTAACAAAACAAGTGTTTTATGAATAAAAAGTCTTTAGTTAGTCAAAGTAAGTAATACTTACACTTCTAATCTGACAGCATATCCTATAGATGTGCCCACTTTTTCAGACCTCTCCTCAGCAACTCTCATTGCCAAGGATGAAGCGGCTATACGCCGCGGTTGAGTGACTAAAATATGAACATTAGCACCTTTTTTATTGACAATCGCGTTATCTAAAATTATCTGTGGAATCTGAAAACAAATATGTATAATTAAATTCATAAATAGTCACATTTGGGCATTTTTAAAACTTATTAGAGGTTTTCAATTTTACGCTAAAGAGACATTAGACATTTTTTAAAGTTGTTAAATATAAAGATACCTGAGTAGATTTTCCACAGCCAGTCTCACCACTAATAACAACCACTTGATTATTATGAAATATTTCTAGCAGTTCCTTTGTTTTCTTATATGTTGGTAACCTCTCTCGGAATGTTTTCATTTTGATATAATTATCTGATTGTATCATTGTCTTATAGTTTTCATAGTATGATTCATTTAAGGCTTGAATTGTAGGGTTATTCATGGCAATAATGACTCCATCTTTTAAACATTTTTCAAGTTTTTCTTCAAAAGTACCTGTAATTATGTCTTCATAGCCATATTTATAATCACCAGCGCCTCTTAGAGGACCTGGCTGTCTTTCATCTGATGAAAGACTGGACTTTGCTTTTTGAGGATCTGTATTTAAATCTTCTTCACATGATGATCCCACTTTCGCTTCTTTTGCTTTTGATTCTTTTACATCATCTACCTGCATATTATAGTCCCAAGAAGTACTTGGAGCTTCCAATGGTGTGGACTGATCAGAATATTTATTTTTGTGCGCAGGATAACTACTTGTTCTATCATAACGGTGTTCATATTTATCATCTTTCTTTATTGTAACAAAATTTAAACGTTTAGGTGGTGGTACATGTATATTATGTTCATTGGCAATCTTTTTAATAGATTGTATGTTTTTCTGCAAGCTTGTCAGTACTGCGGGTGGTACTGATAGATTAATCTAGAATAATAATCAAAATTTATTTAATTCCTGTTGTGACTTTGTTGCTTTTAAATATAGGAAGTTTAATTTAGTATAGTATAAAGTGAATAAATTATATGAAGCTTCTTTCTTAATGTTACCTGTTCAACCACATAAAAACACTTATTATATGCTGTCAGGTTAGGTCTAGTATTGAAGACAAACACAATTTTGTCAAGTCGCAAATGCAATAGATTGCCGAGCATAAGGTCTTAGATTTGATTCTCATTTTAGGCTTAGTTTAACTTTGTTTATCGATTTCGAAACCCTCAGTAACAAAGCATAGATTTAGAATTTGCTAAAATTTTGCCCATACATTCGCTCCGCTCCCTATTACTAAGGGACTGATAACATAACCAGTAAAAAGTTGGAGTATGATATAATATCATAAAAAAAATTGTGAATACCTTTTTTTAATATTATAACCTGAGATATTGTAGTTATGTATGTACAAAATAATAATTAGGTTTTCAGAATGTAAGTCGGGAATCAAATATTAAGAGTTTGGAAGTCTTAATCTTAAAGAGAAAATTCTCAAAGAAAGCTTATTTACCATATAATCTAGATCCATATTTTTATTTTTATTTCTCTGCAGATCTCTATAATAAAGGCCGATGTCTTTGCCGCGCAAACCATGAGGTCTGCCCCCACGATTTTGATTTTTATATGATGCTCTATTCCAATTACTACGCCGCGACATCGTGCGCGTTGATACTATTGTTTCTATTCGGTCAAATAAACATGTTTCATATATAAACAAACAAAAATATAAAATTAATTGAACAAATAATAATTTGGCGAACAAAGTACAAGCAAGCCTTTCGAAAAAATTATATATTCACATTTTAAGCTATTGCTCACAATCGATACGCAATAAATATCAAAAGTAACATACCTTTGGTTTAGAACTAAATATTGTCGGCAAAATTAATGTATACCGCTAATGGCAAATAATGACTGTGTTAGTGTCAATTCATATGTCAATCAATGGATGAAAGACATCAAAATCAATAAAGTTTGACATTTTTGATATTAACCTCCGTAACTTCCTCCTCTGCGCTCTTAAATTCTCGATACAATCTTGATACTATAAACTTGAAAATCTAATATTAATACCAAGTAGACGCTGTTTTTACTGCAATTTTAGGAAGATTTAAAAACCGCAAATTTTAGGAAGATTTAAAAACTTACACTATATAATGAATATGACTAGTATTCAAGTATAAAAATGTGATAACATTTAAATTGACATTATTCGATTTTATTCAAGAGTAAATAAATAGATAAAGCCTAAAAATTGTCTGTTACAAAATAAATAATATAATTATCATAAATAAATGATAAAACAGATTTGTAAATTGAGAAATTGAACGCAGTTACTCAACGGGGAAATAAGCTGACTGATTGTCGTGTTAACTTTTCCGTGGCAATGTCAATAAATGACATCCAGAACTTCAAAACTAGTCGCGTTATCGCAATCGCCAATCGCGTTCCACTTCTTCAATATTCATTTCGAAAAGTGGCAGTAAAGAGGGATCATTATTTTTCATAATGGAACTGCTGTTCATATGGGATTTGTAGTTGAAAGAATGAGAAAGAAATGGACATGAGTGAAACATTAACTGAAACTATTCAAGAGTGACAGTTGTTATTCAGTCGAAACTGTCGAAACAACAATAGGTTGCATTCAGTCCATTCAATAAATCAGCTTGGAAAGCAATAAAATAACAGTATGTTCAGTGTTTAACTCACTATTTATGAATTAAAAAATATACTATACCAAATCGTATAGCATTAAAACGATGCTGCATAAAAATGTAAGTGGTTTTCTACATATTAAACTTCAAAAGTTATAAACTAAATTGTGTTTTGAATGTTTGTATCTATAATTTTATTTATTTGTTTAAATTATTTTATTTCAGGGTTACTGGTCGCTATTATGTCGTGGACGTAAGAAAAAAATAGTGGTTCTAACTGTAATTTTGGTACTCCTATTAAATTGTTTCTTTTATGTCAGCTTAGAGCTCTATAATACCATTAAGAGAAAAGAAAAACAGCCTTGGTACAATAGGTGAGTCGAACATCATGAAATAATAATTCTACTAATATTACAAAATAGGCGAAAGTTTGTATGTTTTGCTTTATTCCACGGAACCCCAGGCGAAACCCCAGAAGCTAATCATAAATATAAAAGTGTTTATTTATGATCAATGTGTGAATAATAAATAAAAAATGAATAACTTTTAAAAGTTATATAATTTTATTTCAGTTTACAATTTGATAAAAACTCCTATGTGGACGAAAGTGGGATGCGAGTCATAGTCGGACATTATGTAGGTGGTACAAATGGTGGCAATTTATCTGAAGGTAAGTCATTACTTAAACTTTTACTTTTTCATTATTTTGTTGTGTGAATAGCAATTCAAAAAGAGTAGAAAATCAGAATTTTAATTATAATAAATTAAATTATTTTTAACCTACTTTCAAAGGAAGTTCTCAATTTGCCTGTTTGGATAAGTTTTAGTTATTCATCTTTCCCACTGGTTGGTAAATCCCCATTCTTACAAAGTAAAGCTATAATTCTATATTATGTTACACAGTTTAACTTGGTCTTTAAAATTTTACTTGAAATGTTAAGTTACTTATGCCCGAATACTGAAAGGCTACCCAATTTTAAGTTGTACTTAAATATCGTGCCATCTCTGTCAATTTACATAGAATTTGTAGTGACGGAATCACGGAACTATAGTTAAGCGCTACTTAAAATTGTGAGTATTTCAGCATTACTGAAACATGAATTTTTAGTCACTCCTAAGTATTGTCCTGTTACTTACTACAAATTCTTTGAAAGTGACAGTGATAGCACAATATTTAATTACAACTAAAAATTGGGTAGCCTTTCAGTATTCGGGCGGTATAGAATTAAATTCTTACTTAATTCAAGAGCATGCTTAACTGTCAGACCATTACAGTGTCATATCAAACAACTAAAAAACATTTACCAAGATTTTAACTGTTCGAACTCCATGTGTCACGATCTCCGGCCACCATAAGCACAGTCCTGCGGACGGCGACCATGGGTAGCTAAGTAGCTAGCCGCTCGACCAGAACTAGACCCGAGCGTGTGGCGCGTCGCGTAAAGAGCCATCAGACTACCACGGACGGGGCTCAATAGGGCCGATACGGAGCCGTGTAAAACTTAACGGGCTACCGCCTCGAAGTGCAGGAGTAGGAATGGGGTGGTTTTTAATCAGTAAGAGTCTAACACTCCTGCCCGCCACAACCAGACAGGAAAAGAGATTCGATGATTATCCCCCGTTCAAAAAAAAACGGTCAAGCGGTCACCGGTGACTGCTCTACTAACTCTACTATATACCCTATTTCCGATGTTCAGAGACTTCTTTTGTATGAACAAATTTTGTGTACGATATATCAACATATTATTGTATGAAAAAATACAATAATAGAATAACCTTGCACCCTTGCAAATTGTGATGTGTGATCTATTTATAACTTCAACATGGTGCTAATTCACAATGAAACTTAAACCTTGAATGTCTATGAGATACAAATCTTCACACTCATTTTTATGATTTAGCAGGAAATTGTTACAGCCTATATAGTTTTAGTAATAGTTACTGAGAATCGTAATTTTATGGCATTGACAATATTTTTAATCTTATACACCGTGAAATCTATTTCGTTTTCGCCCCGCGGCAAAACAACTTGCCATAATGAGTACTTTCGATGTATAAAGTAAAAACAAAAAAAAAATAAAGATGTTTTTTTTTTACTTTATGAAGATATGCACATGAAACACTAGGCACGTCAAGAATTACGTGGCGTAATGTTTTGATAATGTACTATGACTATGAGTTCGTAGGCGCTTTCGAAGTTTGCTTTTAGCAATGGTTCACCAGTTATTTTTTTATTCTAAACATTTTATTTCTTTGTTAAACTAGAGTATTACCAAGATAGAACCATTTTACTTCGGGATGAAAACGAAATAGATTTCACGGTGTATACTATTATGTAAAGCTGAAGAGTTTGGTTGTTTGAACGCCCTAATCTCCGGAACTACTGGTCCGATTTGAATAATTCTTTTTGTGTTGGATAGTACGTTAATCAAGGAAGTTTTTTAAACATCGCGATACAATGAATAGGAGCGGGGCTAGCTGGTCCTTATATAGAAAACAAAGTTCCCCAAAAACTACTGTACAGATTTTGTTGTGGTTTTCACCAGTCAATTAAGTAATTATGAAGAAGGTAAAGAACCGTATGTTGCTGTAAAATAACAAATAGTTATACAAAGATTGGCTAATCATGTTTGCTTGATTTAACAACATTTTTTAGATATGCACAAATAATGTTTCATGATTTAATTAAAATTAACTTGTCATGCCTTTCGTCATGCCAATTGTTCTTTAAACTGATTACTTAGGCACTATAATCAAAATGTATTAAATTCTCTTTGCTTTAACGACTTTTAGCTTGCATCGTAACATGTACGATACTAGAATTTATGTGTCTAGGCATAAGGTTTAGGTTTATTAATTTTCATGTATAGTATGTCAAAGGAATTGTGCCCGGTATATGACAATAGGCTCACCCTCTATTACATGAGACTTATAAATAACATAAATAGTGAAAACTGGGTGTTACATTGTACAGTGGCATTAGGCGCCGTAATGTGAACCGCTGTCTACCTGCCCTGCCTACCCTTTCGGGGATAAAAGGCGTGATGTTATGTATGTCAAACTGGGAAATGTTAAATGTATGGATGTATGTTTGTTACGTTTTCACTTAAAGACTACTTTTACGTAATAATCCAACCAAGATCGCGTTCGGTGCTCTGATTGGTTGGTTCATTGGAGCTGGCCAATCAGAGCGCCGAACTCGGTCTCGTCCCCTCTAAACTACATGTAGTTGAAACTTGGCACATAATCCTAAAATGTTTACTTTTCAGAAGTAATACATAAAAATAATTATGCACCTGTGCCGGGGGCTGGCGAAGGAGGGCGACCAGTACAGTTGTCTCAGCGAGAACTCATCACTGCCCGGGAACTGTACTCCCTACACTCGTATAACATCCTCGTCAGCGACAAAATATCTATCAATAGAAGTTTGCCAGATATGCGTAGTGATAAGTGAGTACTATTTCTTAACAACTTTTTATGATCGGGGGACGAGCAAACGGATCACCCAAATTAGCACCGTCAATGAACACCTGCAACACTAGAAGATATAAAAGTGTTTTGCCGAGCTTAGGGAAAGAGTGCAAGGTAATTATTAAGCCTCCTGTCAGGTCACTCACACGGCGTAACATCTTAGAAGCGGAAGCTGAAACATGACTCTCTCATATCGTGTCTGCACGGTTGGTGCGGTGGCTGGGCGAGCGGCTGCCGTGCAACGTGTCGCGGGTTCGATTCCCGCACGGAACAACTCTTTATGTGATCCACAAATTGTTGTTTCGGGTCTGGGTGTCATTGTGTATGTGAACTTGTATCTTTGTAAACGCACCCACGACACAGGAAAAAATCCTAGTGTGGGGCAACGTTTTTTTTTTAAAAAAAATAAAAAATATGAATAATTATATTTCTTTGATTGCATTGATTCGTGATCGGATCAATGATTATCATGACTGTTTGATTTTCCGATATGCATAGTCATAGCATGAGTTTCTGATTACCCAACGACCGTCATTGATGTTCGTATGACAACCGAAACCGAACGGTTTAACGTGGCGTGTCGATATGAATAAGTAGCTACTTATTAGGTATTTATGATCTATATAAGCAGATTATTGTTTTATAAACCTTCTTGAAATCTGTAATTAATTTGATAGGTAGTTTTTGCACCTTTCACTATTTATGTTATGGAATAGGAAGGCTAACGAGCAGGCCGATCACCTGATGGTAAGCTATTGACGCTGGCATGGACAGCCGCAAAACCAGCGGTGTTGCATGTGCATTGCCGACATTTCCGAATATTGGGAGTTATCTATCTTTACTCAGACGTCGCGGAGAACCTAACGGGTAACCGGGGCTCCGGCTCGACGTGCAGGAGAAGGAACGGGGTGGTTTTTAGTCAGTAAGAGTCTGACACTCCCTTCCGCCTCACCCAGGCAGTCGATGATTTTCCCCCTTTAAAAAAAATCTTTACTCAGACGACCAAACACGACACTCTCGTATTATTTCTATTAATAATCAAAAAGTAGTAACTAGTTCATGTGTATTGGATGCACTTCAAAATTTCTAGTTCTTCTTACAGAGCTTACATAATCCTTCGTTATTGAATGATTTATGCAAGGTTGTCTATAATGCACCGAAACTATCGTTGTAATTAGCGAGGATGCAAAGATAAGGGAAGTAAAGTAAAGAAACGTTCATTATTTGTTGTTCTTGGATCCAACTGAGATAGAAATAATTTTTAATTAGATGATAGCAGATACAGATATGTGAGTAATCAAAATGGTTCTTAAAGGTCCTCGTTTTAGAACTATTTTGGTCTGATGTCTTCAGAGAATAACTTTTTCTCTTCTTCCTTATTTTTTACCATACATCAAATACAATTTGATACTGGAATTTACTGCAGCGTAGGATGTCCAACAAATAGGTCTTCGCTTCTCAGGGTTGATCTAGAAGTCCTTAGGCTATCCGGTTCTGGGCTCGCTGTCATTGCAGCGGTAAGACCCCTCTTTGTGGAGTGGGTTGCCGCTCGACCAGAACCAGACCCGAGCGTACGGCGAGTCGCGTTTCGCGCGCGCTAAAAGAGCCATCAGACCACCACAGATATGTCCCAATAGGGCTGGATGTCGATACGGAGCCGCGGAGGCCTTAACGGGTTGCTGGGGCTCCTTGTCGAATTGAAGGAATAGGAACGGGGTGGTTTTTAGTCAGTAAGAGTCTGACACTTCCTCTCGCTTTTGACGATTGATGATTTCCCTCATTAAAAAAAGGATCTCTAGTTCAGCAATAGATATCTTGCAGCCGATACGATAGTGAAAATGAAAATCTGTACACTATTCAAAAGTACCTTACCTGTATGTGTATTAATTAAAATAAATGACTTTGACTTTAACTCTTTCAGATGTAAAGAAGTGCAGTTCGACTTGGAAAACTTGCCTACAGCGACGGTGATAATCGTGTTCCACAATGAAGCGTGGTCTACTCTCATGCGGACTGTTATGTCGGTGCTCATAAGATCACCTGCTCAACTATTGCAACAAGTATTATAAAGTATTTCTTTTACTACTTAAAATTAAGTTTACTTCTTGTATAGACTTTTTAGGTAAAATTGGGTCAATGATGTACCAATAGGGTAGTTTCCTTAATTTTATTTTAATGTCCGTCTGGTAGATTATTTTAAAACATTAGACACGTATTTTTTCTTTTCTCACAAAATTAAATGCTTTTGACTATATTGATTTAAAATGTTGCGTGACGTCACAGCGTGCTACAAAATGTACCACGTTGTGACGTAACTACCTCCCACTCCTAAACTTTACGCCATTTTATTTAAGTATTGTAACTCTATACGAGAAAATAAAAAAAATGTGTCTAATATTTTTGCATTATCTAATTGACGGACTAATTAGATTTTTAATTTTCGTATCTCTATTGTCCATAACTAAACAATTTTCTATATTTATCAAAAGTAGTTCTTTCTGATTACCTCCATGTCTCGGGCTCGATTAAAGAATGCATTGTTATGTTTCTCTATCCTTAAAAATTAGTTTGATTGGCAATTTAATCCAACGTATTTATGTAGATTGACTCAAAAGATGGTTAGAAGATTTTAGAATTCTACTGGGTTGGGATGTCAATGATACCATCGAACATAAAAATAAATAAAATCACTATTTTAACCATTTAAAAACTTCTTACAGATAATTCTAGTGGACGATGCGAGCGATAGAAAATATCTTTTCGAAGAGTTGGACGAAGCTGTGGCGAAGTTAAACAAAGTGAAGATATTACGGAACCCTGAGAGGAAAGGGTTGGTTGGGGCGCGGCTGATGGGTGCAAGGCAGGCTACTGGAGACGTACTAGTCTTTCTTGATGCGCACTGTGAGGTGAGACGAGACTACTTTATTTTATAGTCCATTGAAACATATATCGTTACTTTTAAAGGAAAATATTGGTAGTTTTGATGATGTGTATAATCGTGTATGGTACGGTTTAGGCTCTTATTTCTTAGAAACAGATGTATATATCTGTTTCTTAACCAAAGTATCAGTAAAGAGTATGGCTTTCTTCGTTGTGAAGGACTAGTCTGCAATAGACATATTCCGGTTGATGATAATGGGTGTATCTGTCGATAACAAAGACCAAACTTGATATTTCAGGTCACGATAGGATGGCTGGAACCATTGCTAGACCGTGCAGGAAGCGACGATGTCTTCATATGCCCACATATAGACCTGTTGTCAGAAGACACCCTATCATACGTGAAAAGTATTGATGCCCATTGGGGAGCATTCAGTTGGAGGCTGCATTTTCGATGGTTAGTACCTAGCGGCGAAGTGCTTAAAAAGAAGTCAGAAAATCCTTCAAAGCCGTATCCAACCCAGCTATGGCTGGTGGTCTTTTTGCAGTCAGAAAAAGTCTTTTCTGGCGCCTCGGAGGGTATGACGAGGGTATGGTCATTTGGGGAGCAGAGAACTTAGAGTTGTCATGGCGAGCCTGGCAGTGTGGAGCCAGGGTAGAAATAACATCGTGTTCCCGCGTCGGACATATATTTAGAAGACATAGCCCCTACAAATACCCTGGTGGGGTCACAAAAGTCCTCTACGCAAACTTAGCTCGAGCTGCCGTAGTCTGGATGGATGAGTGGGCAGACTTCTACTTCAAATTCAACCCTGAAGTAGCCTCGTATCGCGATCAACAGTCAGTTGCGAATAGAATAGAATTAAGAAGAATTTGAGTTGCAAAAGCTTTGGGTGGTACTAAACAACGTTTGGCCACAACACTTTTTCCCAACCGATGATAGATGGTTCGGGAGGATAAAGAATGAGAAAGGAGCTTGTATAGGAGTTACTGTTGGGACAGTAGGGTTGGGAATACCAGCAGTTGGAATAGATTGTACCAAACAAGCTGAGTTCGAAAGCTTAGTCGTTTTTACTCCTGAAGGTAAGTTAATGGTGGACGAAGGTTGTGCTTACAGCAAGCGAATGGGCGAGCTATTTGGAAGAGTTGCTCTGATAGCAGTAAACAAATTTGGGAGCAGAAGGGTCCTAGATTAAAAACCCAGGATGGTCAGTGCCTCACATTAGTGGTGACAAAAAACATGCATGGTATCGGGGACCCCTTAACATCAAAACGATGCCTCACAGACGATAAACAAATATGGCATTTTGAACGCGTGCCTTGGCGTTAATATTGTGATAAAACTAGGTAGTACAAATTAGTTAAAATTTAAGCAATAATTTACAAAATTTAACTACAGTTTAAGGTTTTATGGTCGCAAATCCTAAAAATAAGATTTTAGTAAGTACTTAATATCATTTGAGTCTGATTCGGGATCTTATAAGTTAATAAGTTAGATCGTTGTACAATGTTTTATTTTTTTCCCTAAGTATACTAGACGCCGATCGTATCACAGCAGAACTTGTCCTAGCTGTCCGTGGGCGCGGCGTGGGGGGTGGGTCTTCTAGCAGGTTGTGTATGTTGGGTTCTGCTGTGTCAGACTCATCATCCTCGCCTTCTGTAACTCAGCACGCAGTTCTAGGTTGTTCATTCTTTACCGGTCCGCTATCATTTGGGAGTTCATGGTGGACAGCAGGTTGTGCATGTTTCTCTGGCCAGTGGGAATGTCTGTCCTTCTGGGTCTTCTAGATGTCCATGAACATTGTGATAAGCATGCTCATGCCCTCCTCTTGTGCGGGCGGGGGGCGTGCCCAGGGCTCGGGGAGATTGTCCTCAACGTCCGAGTTCTCTTCTATTGCTGGGGCGGTAGACTTCTTGGTCTTCCGAGGTTTCTTGGATGTGGGTGGAGCTTCTGTGGATGCCCTCTTCACTGTCGCGCGCGTGGTGATTCCCCCGATGTGCCTACGAGGCTTGTGACCCCTGATGAAGGACATCCTCTCTAGCTTCGGTGGGTAGCTTCTTGAGTGCTTGCAAGCTGTTCTTCTTCGTCGAATTCGAAATCTATAGCCTCCACATCCATTTTTAGGGTCGATTTTTGTATAGATGTGGGAGCTTCCCCGCCTGCGATGATCTATCCTTTGGGTGCCGTAGTCTCTCTTCCCTCTCTTGCTACGGGTTGGTGATTTCTTCTTCTTCAGAGTCGGAGTCATCATGTCTTTTCTTCTGGTGACGGGGTAGCCCAGCTCCATTAGTTTTTTCTTTGTATCTTCTGAGAGCTCTCCCAGTTCGGGTGCGGCGCTTTTTCTGACATACCTATCTATTAAAAGGGTGTGGCGGGATGTATGCTCTGGGAGATTTGGAAATTGTCTCCGATGAGTTTGGGCATCTTGGCATGGGTAATAGCATCGTAGTAAAGGTCGGGGAAGTGAGCGTGGTGAAGCTCTTGGTGAGCGTTCACATCCCTCACTCTACTATACGCTATCTTCGCATCAGCCGCTATAGCATCCGACTTCCCTTTTAGGTCGAGGGCCTGATCAAGCACCGCGGGGATCTCCAACGCTCGACAGTGGGATTTTATAAATTGATCCATATACTGTACTGCTTTCAGCGAGGAGAAATCCCAACCAGCTTTATTTGCGATAAGACGGCCACTTCTGTCCCCGTCTTATCCAGTGCAAGAACCCTATCCACGACCTCCTTTTTAAAGTCGTCTCTTCCTGCTACAATCTGCGTGAATTTCCCCGCCAGGAGATCTTGGGCCAAGCCTCCATGGTTACGAGGTCGGTCTTTGCTGATGCCAGGGCCGCCTTCCAACGCTTGGAGTATGCTGGTGGGTTTTGTGGAGTGATTGGTTTAGCCAAGGTCATGAGGGCTGTGAGGACTATTGCCAACATCCTCGGGTCACCACCTCTTCTGATGGAATCCATACGTGGGGTGTGGCAATCCGCTCACCGCTGATACAAGACACCCTGATAGGAGCTAAGTATGTTAGCACGAGTGACAGCAGCAAATCATCGGAGTAGACAATTGCCCCGTCAACCATCCCCCCCGCCTCTGTGACATGCTTGCCAGTTTATCACATATTAATAACTCTTTTGCTTGCTTAAGACCAGAGATCGATTAGGGGCCTGCACAGTGTACACCATGGCGGATAACTGGGACGTTCTGTAAAATAACAATTGTCTACAATGGTGATTAGTGTGATTAGTGTTTAGTGCAGGCATTTAGGTACATAGCACCTGTGATTTGTAATATTAATGTTTATATAATTAATTGACTAGTTTGTAAACGAGATTGTGACCATAACTTGTGATTTTTGACATTATTGACATGATTTTTTACATTTACAACTTTAAGTTACTATGAAATAGTTTTAAAACAGAATGACGCATGCAGCTGTTTTTTACGACATTCCACTATATTTTCTACTACATTTTAATCTTAAATTATTATTTATTTATTTATATTATAAACTGTCTTCCGTTTTTGGATACCTATGATTTATATCATTGTAAAATCGATCTTAATCAGTAGATTTTAAGGATGTTATTTATATAGAAAATTTACAGATCTGATTTTATCTTATTGTTGTTGTAGTTTTGATCTCTCAAGTGTGTAGCTGAGTACGAGTCTGACAAGAAATACCTTTAATTGACATCAGTACTAATTCATTTAAGTTTTTCTAATATACTTTACGTTATCACGGAAAAAAGATTTATATTCACAGATACATTTAAAGCCGTGATAGAGTGAATTTTTTAAGGGGGGGAAATCATGGAATGACTTCACCCGCCTGGGTAAGGCCGGAGGGAGTGTCAGACTCTTACTGACTAAAAACCACTCCGTCCGTTCCAACTCCTGCACTTCGAGGAGCCTCGGTTGCTCGTTAAGTTCGCCGCGGCTCGTATCAGCCCTAATGAGCCCCATCCGTGATATTCTATCCAATTCTCGGCAATTCTTTTTTACAAACAATATAGTCGCATCTGCGCACAACACGCAATTTTTTTTTATTATTTAATTGACAGCGTTTGACGTCCTATTTTTATAATTGAATAACTTTTATGCTTATTTCGACTCATAAACATTTCTTCTAGTCTTATGCTTTTATATTTAGATTTTATTAAATTAGAAGTTTCTTATATTTTGTGTTAAAATTAACAACTACTTAATTATGTTACTTAGTATTTATCTAATTTGCCAACTTCTTTTAGGTTTCAGTGTAATGAAAGACAAAAACCATTCCATTTAAGTAAGATTATCGCGTGTTATGAATATTTATGAATTCATGAAAGTTCTGCATCTAACATCTGCATAAACTTTTTTCTTCTTAAAACGAATATTTTGGTTCTGTTACAAGATCCATATGAACTTTCTCATATCTAGTTGGTAACCATATCAGTTTATAAAACATAGTATGTCCTTAAAATAATTATCATTTTTTGTAATACATCCCTGGCAATTTCTAGACAATTTTTACTACATCCTTTGAATTAACCGCTTGAATGCACCGATATGAGACACAATAGAAAATACATCGCGTGGATTCACGTTTAGACACACGAAAAGGTTAAATTGGTTAAATTAACATTTTATCTTCTGTAAAAAACAGAATGAAAGTACTGTTACACAAACAAAACAGTACCCTAAAAGGCGTTCTATTGAGCATGCTCAAAAATATTTGAATATCGAGCGCTTTTCGATTTGCAAACATACCTGAAATAAGCATGCCAATTTTGAGCAACATTCTGACACATGTTATTAAGTGACAAGTGCTCAATTGAAGCATGTTTTTCTGCTTATAGACCAGGGTAGAAGCCTTTAAAAATAATGAAAAGTGAAAAGGAATTATAGTAGGATGAAACCCATTAGAAAAGGGGTTTTGATGGGTTTCATCCTACTATGATTTTTTTTGAGTTCAAGGCAGCTTTGTACACATGAAACTAGGGATGAGTATTAGGAGCGATCCTTATAATTTTTATCAGAATTGTATTGGTCTCAAGTTATTTGATAGTAACTATAAAACCCCTTTTAGATTTGAAATGTATTACTCGAGAAAAATATAGAATAAGTACACTCACTGCCTCCCCTCTTTAAGGTATGTTACAATATAATTGTCTATATTATTATGTGTTAAGTTAACACTGTTAAGTGATTTATCAGAAGTAAGCAGTGAATAGGCCTTGGGTCCATATCATGTTTCTCAAATATAAGTTTTGATGTCTATCATATTAAATAAGAGCTTTTTAAGTATTCTAAAGTGCTTGGATATTTTGAACAGTATGGTGCTTTTGTAAAAAACTTAAAAAAATATTAATTATCTATAACCGTCTTATTCATAAAAAGTAAACCTGTAGTACCTATCGAAACGAAATCGCGTGAGGTGCTCTGATTGGTTGGTTCATTGTAGCCGGCCAATTAGAGCGCTGAACGCGTACTCCTTTTGATTACTTTGAACATAAAACAAAGTCGTACTAAGCCCTGTGTTCAAATGTTTAATGTCTGTATTGATTTTTAATGAAGAGGAAATAATGCTTTTATTCAGTTACACTTATGCGTACTATTTCGGCTATGCCCGACTAATTTCGACCTAGAACGAGGCCCTTAGTGTAGCTCGAAACTAGTCGATCATCCGATTACTTTTAATGGATAAGACGGTGACTGTACAAAAATGAAACACATCATCACAAATAAAAAATAAAAATGTTTACTTGAAATGTTTTAATTTGTACAAAAATGTTTTCGATTTAAAAAATACTAATTATTATATTAATTACTATTATAAAATGTACAATAAAATTAAATGTATTAAAATAAAATTATTTGAGAATCTATGTCATTAAATTAACTGTTTACTAAAAATTATTTTATTTGATTCACCTAAGGACGAAGTAGAGGAGTATAGTTGCTATTGTGGCTTGCAATGATGTAGTTGTATGTGTCGCTGAGTTGCAGTCGTTGCCGTTGCAGATGAAGCAACGAGCATCACTATGGCCACGTGCTCTTTCTACTGCGAGTAGACCAAGACAGACTGAATCAACTTGCGCGCGTGGTACACAACCTCGGAGAGTATCCACTGTGTTGCCAACTGTAAAAAATAATTTTTATTAAATACCTAATTATGGTATAACATTATACGACTTTCAGCATTTGAAGGGCGCGTTATTTACCATTATAAGTACGCAAAATAACTGCTTCATAGAAGGAGTCTGGGCAGCAGTTATCAGCAGGTACCTCAACAAATAGGTTAGTTTGTCTTGAATTTTTCGTATAGATATTGAGCCGTATCTTTTTGGAATATGGTTGAAAATCTATTAGTGTTTCATTCTCGATACTTCCATTAGATAGTTTTTACTTAATAAATTTAAATACTATGCTTTAATACTACTGTACTTTAAATATGCTCAAACCAGGAACTTACAAGTTTTATCATCAGGCGTAGCTACCATCTTCAAGCACCTATACTCAATAGGGATCCGGGAGTCTGTGCTCGGCGGCGGATGTCCATAGTTATGTACCCATGTAGCTGACACCCAGTTGGCAGGCTGGCACTCCACTCGGTTACCAGGCGCTACTGTCTGCCCTGGGTAGCAACCCAGACACCGCTGGTAGAAACAGGTCTCTGGTAGCACTGAAAAGTTATAATGAATTCACGTATGCAAACATAATTATCTTCTCATCATCATCATCAACAGCCCATAAATGCCCACTGCTGAGCAAAGCCTCTTCTTATACGGAGAAGGTTTGAGCATTAATCACCACGCTTTCTCAATGCGGGTTGGTGAGTTCAAACTTATAATTAGAAATTATAAGCCCAGGTTTCTTCACCATGTTTTCCTTCACCATTTGTAAAATTATCTTCTATTGTATTTTAATTAATAAGGTAAGGTAACGCATCCCAAAATGCAATGTTCCAGATTTAAAAAAAAAATCTCATTAAAAGTTTGGCGGGTAGACGTAATTATCTATTCTGCTTTGAAATAAGACGAAATTGCATCAACCCTCAACATTTTTTATTAGTTTGACGAAGTGGCGTATACGCGCGGGTGTACGCTCTGATTTTTTTTATTAACGCAAACGGTGATACCTTTTTCAACATTTAAAAATATTATTTACCTAAATCAGTGGTAATTTCCTACTTCTTGAGTGTGTTTAGTGACGTGTGTCGTCTCAAAAACGTTCAGATCCGGCGAAAAGAAAAATAGTTTATACACAAGACGGTAAGTGATAATCTAAATTCATATATTAGTAAGTCAACGCGAGATTTTTAGCTGTATAATCTGTTATTCTATTTAATGCGTTCTGCAAATAAAATTCAGATTGTGACGGACAGTCGAACACGTGAACTTGATTTGTGACTTGCGGATAAAAGGCTGAAGTTACTGTATCTACTGACCAAACATCAGACGATCTTATTATTCTTGTACCTTCATATTTTCTTCAGAGTTCTGAGGCGAATTTCTTTAGTAGGTGCTGCAACCAGATTGTTGCCATTTGGTTACATGAAAAATTATAAAGTCTTTCGCAACTTGCTGAGATATACTAAATTAACTAAAAATCGCGGGTTACTCGGGGTTTACTACTACGAGTTATAGGGCTGCACGACATCGCCGCGACCGCACACGCTGCTTATGAGGAAGAACCCCTCTGTGATTCGAAACTAGTAGAGCTTTTCTTAGTATATTCACGTGAGAAACCCGCGATTTTTAGTTAAAATTAAATCCATTAAATAATTGTCTTGTCTACATAACCAGGAAAACCGGTTCATTGCTCTTCTCATTCCAATTTTAAATTTAGATGTGCCCGACAGTGTCCGTAATTGTTACTATTGTATTTTCTAACCATCTGTATGTGTACATTATGGATGTAATAAATACTTAATTAGGTACTAGTGATTCCAAGCACTTTACGATATAAATGTAGATACGGCTACGTATCAAAGTACCTATGGATTTTCAAGTCTACCTTCGAACATTAACTTTCGTATGCGGATTTTATTTTCTGACGACATTTGTTATAAACGAAATCGTTACGGAATATCTTCGGTCTTGTTTACCACATCGATAACATTAACTGCAGTGGCGTGCACAGATTTTCGAGACAGGGTAGGCAACTAAATATCGTATGATTAAAGCCCTCCCCCCCGGTCATACAATCATACTCCTACAAGACAGGTACATGTATAGAATACATTTTGTTGAAAAGTGCGTTCAAGAATATTGTGGTTTATTCTTTCGCCAAATTACATACACTGACATCTCGCGTATTTTTTGTAAAGTACTACATCAGCTATCGAATAAGCCAACAAAACTTACAAATAATGAAGCATCTATTTATTATGCTAATAATGAATCATAAATTTGATGAACCAAATTCAATTATCAAATTGCTAAATAATCTATTCAAAATCATAATTACGAATTTAAGAACGTAGGTACCTACCAACAAACAAAACAACAACAAGCGCGGCCGGCTGTGGCCGAGCCGAGTATAAGCGGTACATTTGTTATTACATTACATAATTATTAATAATAAATTAATATGTAAATCAAACAACCCGAGGTATAAGTTGATATTTTTAAGAATTATCAATCAGTAAACAAGAACATCATATAAAAGATCCATTATAGTACCTACATATTTACATTACCTACCTTTGACTTGGGTCAATTCTCGTAACTTGAGTTCTGCCTATGGTCATTACCTGAATCTAGTCGTTATAGGACACATTTTTGCGAAAACTTACTGTTTTTAACTTTAAACAAACACAAAAAATTACCTATTATCAACACAAACTTCACAATCGAATAATATACTAGACACTGATAAACAAATACACTATTTGAAAAACCGACACATATATTTTACTACTTCTACACATATTTATGCAACTTTATGTTTAAAACTAATTCCTTATAATTTAAACGAAAACATAAACAAAGCGATCGCACATCACATGAAAACAATATGGCCGAAAACATTGGAAAGTCATTACCCATCGTAGTCAATTGAGTGTTTATTATAAAAAAATTATAGCTAAAACATTAAGGCAACACAGTGTTTAATTATAAAAAAAAACAAAACGTTAATTTACATAAGTCAAATGGAATTGCATCATTGTCTTATTATTATTTTCCAATAAGAAACATTCGTTGATAATAATTTGAAACTTTGAGTAGCGGCAACTTGACGTTTCGATAACTTCCTTTTAACTTTTAAAATAATAAAGTCAACTCCTCGTTTAAAGTTTCTATAAAGCGACAACGCGTAAAAATGTTAAGATTTAATTAAAACACCTGAATATATTTTTTTAGTATGCATAATTATAAAAAGACATTCCCATTATACCGAACGCGTTCAGAAGTTTTAACAAAAAATTCAATAGATGGCGCAGATTCACAAACAAAAAGTCCGGCTAGATTGAATCGTGTAATAATTTTTTGCGTTTATGAATGGTTATTCTGTGCTGTGACCACAGTCACGTGACCTTCACGCATGCGCGTTGCATACTTTTTGTGACGTCACAACCACCAACCAAGATTTAAGGAATAGCAGCGCATGCGTGGTGCGTGCGGCGCGCATTCATTGCTTTACAAAGGCTGCGGTCCGTGTATAGTATGTGAATGTATATTTATGTTAGCCGTTTTTTTACAAACTTTTATTATATTATTGAATCTTAATAAACGCGTTAGTACATTTTATGTCAAGCAAAGCCTATTTGCCTATATGGACTGCACGCCACTGATTAACTGTATGCCTTCCTTACTAGGTACCAATTTATTTGACATACATACATACATACATAACTTCACGCCTGTCTCCCATGGGGGTAGGCAGAGACTAAGGAACGCCAATTACTACGATTCTTACATACCTCTTTCGCTTCATTAACAGTCATCAATCTTTTCATGCATGCTCGTCGGTTAAGGGTACTTTTAATTTGGCCCTTCTTTAATATATCGCCAATCTGGTCACTATATGTCCGTCTAGGGCGCCCTCTACCGACGGCTCCATTCATATCCGCTCTGTATACTTCTTTCGTTACTCTACTTTCATCCATCCTTTCTACATGTCCAAACCAGCGTAACATTCCCTTTTCAATCCTTGTCACTACATCGTCTTTCAATCCACACCCTCTCTAATAACACTATTTTTCACTCGATCACTCAATTTTAGTCCACACATACTTCTCAGGGCTCTCATTTCCACCGCATTAATCCTGCTTTCATGCTTCTTCTGCCACACCCATGATTCACTACCATACATAAGCGTTGGTGTCAATACACACTGCATTACAGCAAGTCGAGCTTTGCTGGATATTATTTTACTCGACATTACAGAGTGTAAAGCACCATTAACACTATTTCCCGCTTTCACTCTCCTTTCAATATCCCCGTCACACTTTCCATCTCTCGTAAATAGTGATCCCAGATACACAAATTCATTCACTTGTTCCAATTTTTCATCACCTATCATTACCTGACATTCTGTTATCACCTCATTTCTTTCTATCACCAACACTTTCGTCTTGTTCACATTTATTTTCATACCTTTCCTTTCAAATGCATCACTCATAGCAGTGACCATTTGTTGTAATTCTTGGGCCGACGAGGCAACAAGCACCTGGTCGTCGGCATACAACAATGTTTTAATCACTGTGTCATTCATCCTTAATCCAGGCTCTCCTACTTTCAGGTCGTTCAAACAACTGTCCATAAATAGGTTGAACAGCCAAGGAGATGCTACACAGCCTTGCCTAACACCGCGATTAATGTCAAACCACTCCGTGTAGTCCCCATTTATTCTGACACAGGCACTCGAGTCCTTATATAAGGATTTAAGTGCCCGAATCAGGTGGCTATCCACCCCATACATGGACAGAGTTGACCACAGTTCATCCCTCACCACTCTGTCATAAGCCTTTTCTAGGTCTATAAAGGCACAAAATACCTTTTGGTGCTTTGATAACACTTTCTCTGAAATGCACCGTAACGAAAAGACTTGATCCGTACACCCCATTCCCTTTCGAAATCCCGCTTGCACATCCCAGATTTTACGCTCAGTTACATCCATCACTCTTTCGATCAATACCTTGGCATACAACTTTCCTACTACGCTTAGGAGGCTTATACCGCGATAATTTTTGCACTCCTGCTGTGATCCTTTTCCTTTATATAGTGGCACAATTACGGCCTTGGCCCAGTCTCCCGGGACACGACCGCACCGCCAACACTTATTAAAAAGTAGATACAGCAGGCTTGCAATTACACCTCCACCCTCTGTTAGCATTTCAGAAGTTATCCTATCACATCCCGCTGCTTTACCTACTTTCAAACTCTTAATGGCACTCACAATTTCATCCATATTTATTTCTCCCACATTAGCACTTTCATTCTCATCGTTTACTTCCTCTTCTTTCAAATCACTCCTTTCAAATAAATTCTCGAAGTATTCCTTCCACTGCTTTAAAACATCCTTACTTTCTCCAATGACACTCCCATTTATATCCCTTATCGTACTTACTTTCGAGTCCCCCACTTTGCCTCTGGCCCTTCTAACTAAATGCCAGAATAGTTTAGCGTTGGCTCGAAAGTTCTGCGAAAAATTCCTTTCAAACTTTTCCTTGCATTCATTTTTCTTCTTGCTAACTACCGCTTTTGCTCTCTTTTTGAGACTTACGTACTTTTCTTTCATACTTTCTAGCACTCTCCTATTTGCCTTTGAGGCTAATAAGTCAAGCCATGCTTTCTTCTTTTGCTCTATCACCTCTTTTACTTCATCATCCCACCATTCATTCCTCTTGCTTCCAGTGTTATTTTTCTTGCTTACCCCACATACTTGAGTAGCTACTGCGATCACTCCATCCTTAAATTCCTTCCAAAATTCTTCTATATTCCATTCGTCACCTTTCATTAGCTCCCTAAACCTTTCATTTAATAATTTCCTGTACTGGTCCCTAACTTCCTCTTCTCTCAACCGTTCAACTCTCACTCTCTCGGTTCCAGGCAACTTTACCCGTGGCCGATGTCTCCACTTCATTGTCAGTCCAGCTATTCTGGTAATTACTAGGAAGTGGTCGCTTCCGACATTCGTGCCACGGTAAACCCTTGTATCCTTCACTTTTGTCCTCAGGCGTTCATCAACAATCACAAAATCAATCATACTTCTTTCTGTATGCCTCTGCCATGTATACATGTGTATCTTCTTGTGACCAAATGTTGTGTTGGTCACAACAAGTTCCTTTTCTACACATATATCCAGAAGACATACACCATTCTCGTTCACTCGTTCGTCTCCAAATCGCCCTAATACTCTTTCGTACCCATCGCGTGCCACTCCAACCCATCCATTAAAATCTCCAAGCATAATTATTCTTTCATTCTCTTTACATTCATTAAGAACATCTCTCAAGTTATCCCAGAATACTTCCCTCACCCCAATTGGCTTTGACATGTCCGGGGCATACGCACAGATGACAAATAATTTGGTCAAGCCAACTTTAAGGCGGATCCAAAGTATCCTGGGACTCACACATTCATACTCTTTCACACATTCATTCATCCTTTCAGATAGTATGACCCCCACGCCCTGGCTGCCTCTCTGGGAACTTGCAACACCAGACCAGTAAGCAATATATTGGCCATGCGTGGTAGTCATACAACCCTTTCTTTTCGTCTCGCTCACCCCTAACAAATCAATCTTTCTTGTATTCATCATCTCACATATTTCTAACATCTTGCCTTCTACACCTCCACACACATTCAGTGTAGCAAAAAGGCAATCCTCAGTCCGCTTTCTGCCTACGCACGGGGAGACAAAACGTGACGTGTGGCAGAGCACGTCGCCGTCGGGAATTTCGCCCCCCCCAGATACGACGGGGCTGCCTGAGCAATCATGCTCAGGGAGGGATTCTCCAGCGGAGCTGGTACCCTCCTGGGGTAGTGTACTCTTTAATCCCCTGTTCATAATGCCCTGTCGCATATCCCTATGGATGGGAAAAGGAAGTAAGGATGCTTGGTAGGGGGTTGTGGGTCTATGGGATAGGAAAGCTGTGGAAGCTACGATCACCCCGTACAGAGACAGTAGTGATCAAAAACTTCCACAGCTCAAAGGTTAACGGGGATACTGCAGAAACGGAAAGGATACGAGGAAAGTTCCTGCAGTAGCTCAGGCGGCCAGGGTCGCGTCCCTATCTGTTTCTTCCTTCATGATCGGACAGACCATAAAGTTGAAAACAGCCTTAGCCAATTTATTTGATTGGGCGACAATTGTATTAAAAACGTACGAATAAATTCTTTGGTTAACCGTTAAATGGTCATAATCTTTTGTCCTGGAAAGGAACCCTGCTAGGAGTTTGATTGAGACCTTTGGTAGAAATTAATATGATTGACCTTTGTCATTGTTTATTTCTGAGCGGATTTAAAAAATATTTCTTTGTTTATTTTCTCTCCTCATTGCTCGGTAGGTGATCTTAATTAGTTTTGTCTACCTACATACTGTAGTCATACGAAGGTAGTATTTTTATGGAAATTGGGTGTCCGTATACTTAATACAATCAAAATTCATGCCATGTTTACTTTTTGCATTACAATATGTAATGTTTATGTGAAACAGTTTTCTTCATATTATGTGTTTGTGTTATCAAGATTTTTTGTTCAATTACCTACAAGTAATCACAATCTGGTTGCTTTTACTTGGGTGACTGATAAAGATAATTTCTTTCCTACTTGGAAGTTAACATTAAGTATTTTTTTTGGAATAATGATTTGCACAACGTTTAGTAAATAATGTTGAAGGGACACCACAAAAAATTTTTTCTAGTGAATTTATGTATATTATCTTTCTACTCAATCAATACTTCTTTCCGAAGAGATCAACAATTGAACGTAGGTAAGCGAATTGCATGGAAAATGCGTTATTCATCCTTGACATATGAAGTAGCTACTAGCGATCTAAAGACGAGAAATTAATGATTGAAGGCTTCCCTGCATTATCTGCACAATACACGTCCGTGTCAAATGTGATTGTTGTGTAGCGGAACGGTGCAGTGTACAGAATCTAGCTGACCGGACCCACCATTACGAGTCGGTCTACGAGTACCTAAGTGCTTGTTCACGGTGACCACGCGGGCGCGGGCGCGGGCGCGGGCGCGGTTACTGTCGCGAGTTTGTGTACATGATTAATGATTAACTGATGATAATGATTAACATGATTAACTGTCAGGCGTTTGCGCAAGCAATAACTTCAAATTCATTGATCTTAGTCGCCAGTCGATAGATTGTCTGCAAGTTATACAGCACTCTTTGTTTTCTTAACGTAACGTCTTCGTTAACACTTGGATGTCGTGTCATATGTTTCATATTTCGCGATCGCGCCCACGCCCGCCATTCAGCGTAAACAAGCATTAATGCCACTCCTCATGGCACTTTACGTTTGTTTTAACCGCTGCAATCATATGTCATTTTCTCGCGTTTCGCGCTATTTTGCCGGCCGTCCATCGCTCGCGATCCGTTCGGCGCGTACGCTCCGTAATTATTGAAAGCAGGGAATCCACTCTCGACGGACTCCACGTCAAGGCATGCCGCACGAATGATTATTTCGCCGCCGTTTAGTTTCGCTCTTTAAATTATAATAGCTGATATTAAAGATAATGTTATCACAGTTAATGAGTTCAGTTATTGTGTAACGATGGTGGGTAGCTCTCGTCTCGTATTGTTATTTTTTGTATTCGATATAAATAGACTGATATCTTTTGATTTATCTAGTAGTTTGCTTACAGATTTAGCGAACAATGATACTCTAATTTCTGAATGAATGGAAATGTTAGTATTAAAAGTGTACGCAATATTAATATCATATGCGTACACATCTGGCAGGCTTTAGGTGATATACTCACACTCATCATCGGATTGAAAAGCATGGTATCTATCTCCTTACCGCATTCCTTAACTTAAAGTTTATTCTATTGACCTAAATGCAACAGCACCTACTCTCGACCGACATAAATAATCATAAATAACCAATAAACAACAGCTATCACATAAAAAATACATAAAACTATGTTCACAAGGCTTTAATATTTACTACTCCAAAATAAGTTCTAAGAAACGGTACCTATCTAGTCTAACTACTATAAAGCGATGGTGCGTAAGATCGGACTGTGATCGCCGTATCTTGTCGTTAGGTTGGCGCCCGAGAAAGTGCTTGATAGGCGCCTGACATAATTGTGCACAGCTAGTGGCGACCAGTGTCTTTATTGTAATTCTATATGGTGTTAGACCCATTAGGTACCCATGTACTTTTTCTGGGGCCAGTTTTTGCCTCAATACGATATTGTGTCGTCAGTTTGGTTACAGACCTATATTGTGAGGCAGGGCCTAGGACTAGGTATCCAGTGTACTTACCTATGTCAACTATTTGTCATTTTGTGAAAAGATTAAACTCGTAGGATATCAATTTCGTTGAAGTTGGAAGAAGTTGGGTGGCTTTTTCCTTTGAGGAAAAACATGCAACAAAGATATTGAAGAACACAATCAGAGTAACGCCCTTTACTTAAGTTAACAGCTTATTGCATATGCTTCACAAAGAGACCAAAGTACCTACTTGAAACGAAAATTCAGTTAATTTAGTAGCTAAGGAAGTTTCATAAATTATCACGTACCGAAATCATACAAAGGAGACAGGTAACTTGCAAGTCACTGATACACTTATTTTCCACTTTATGGAAATCACTTGAAAGAATCCACTAGACATTGCTAGACGACCCGCCATTCCTATTCGCTATCTTCACTTATCTAAGTCACAACACAGCACTGACCTAAATTCATAACTAGCGATCATCAACATAAAATCCTCTACCCACGCGCTCCATGGCGACATTACTAGACACATTGACAATGTAAATACTATTGTCAACAGAATAAATAAATATTTATCCGGAGGCAAGATGAGTCGGTATTCAGCAAGCCATTGTGTGCGCGCGGGCGCGAGCGAGAATTTAAAACCTCATGATGTAACGAAACACATTGTTTTATTTATACACGATTGGATGTCAACTTGTACACACAATAGGTTAACAAATCATTACAATTTGTTTATCTAAACACGAATTTTCAAAATGGTAGCTTACCATTAGGAATGAGTCCAGCAATGCTAAGAATAAACACAAACATCGCTGTGCACTGGAACATAATTTCTAATTATAAATGTAGTCTGTTATAACGTCCACTACTGCCGCAGTTTTTATCACACTAATCTCGCGAGGAATCGGTTTTATCTTTAAACGTGTGCCGTTATCATTGCGTTGTAAATTATTGTGTCGTTCCCAGTGGAAAACAAGGATTTATCATAGTTAATAATGTTGAATTTTTCTGCAAACTGTATGAGACTCGCACGTACGTAGGTATCTGTGACGAAAATAAATTTATATCTGTGAGCGAGCACCGAATATTCTCGTCATGTCGTGCCTGAAGATGAGACGGAATAAACGTGCCGTGGACCGTTACTTGTAACCTGTACTTCATGTAGGTACGCACGTTATAATACTATGGGATGACTCGCACATAAATTCTTAATCACTGTTATTCAACAAAAAATCAAATAACAATTCGGCTTACAGTTAGATGAAAAAAAAATCAAAGTTTAAAATAACATAAAAAACTGAATTCATCTTTATTCGGACAACTTTCGGCTGGCAATCAATTGTGCATAAAAATGTGAGCGTATTTTACTGCACTAAATAGGAACAAAAATTAATAGATGTGTCAAAGAAATAGAAATTAAAATAAGTTAACATTTCATTTTAATAAAGTTTTTTTTCCAAAAGGCAAATTAGATTAATGGTAACACGTCTGCAAAGATGAGTAGGCGATGATATAGCGATCAATTAAACGGCACTCCTGCGCAAATATATACTAATCCGGATTAAAATGCGGTTTCGCTATTAAAATTACATATTCATGCAATATTTCAATTAGAACATTTTCATTATTAATGTGCAAGTTAATTGATACTGATTTTATTATTATACGAGATTAGGAATGACCTGTCGAGACGATTAATACTTTATACTAATTTCGTATATTTATATTTGTCAGCATATTATCTGGTATTTACGTCAAAGGCGTGCAAAATGCCAAATAAAAATTAAGAAGTCATAACTCAGAACTAACTCTTTAATTAACTAAAAATCGCGGATTAGTCACGTGAAAATACTAAGAGAAGTTCTACTAATTTCGATCTACAGAGGGGATTTTCCTCATGAGCTGCGTGCGCGATCGCGGTGATGTCGCACAGCCTACTAACCTGCGACTTTTAGTTATTTTAGTATGTCTCACGATAGTTACCCTATTATTTTGATCATTGTCCTTTGATGTGCTTCTATTACTTATTTATACAAAAAAAAATTTACAACGTGTTGACAACAACAACCAAATGCAAGAACCACTTCAGCAGATAGAAGTATCATGTCACTTCACATCCTAACTGAGATCTACGACCAAATAGGGCTCATCGTAAATCTGATACCAATTAATAATATCAGCAATAAAAACAAAATCGACTTAATTCCAATACACATAAGGTTGATAATAACGGTGTGTGAGATTTTGGTTGTGCGCGAAATGGCCCAGATCATGGTTGCGCCGGCGATGGTTTGGATTTGGAGGTGTCAGACGCGCCATCTCGCGGCGTGTTGGTATGTGCAAGTCTTGGATGAGTTCGATAGATATCAGAATCCTGAGGGTTTATTGTGACTGACAACAGAAATGGTACTCCCGTTAAAATAATTGAATTTAATTAGCTCGATGAATTGTATCGGTATTCTGAAATGGGCCGGGTGTGAAGTATGTAGGTATATGCACCCATGACAAGGGAAAAAATCTCAGTGTGCCTAAACTCCTTAACGTGTCAGTCCATAACCATTAGATCAACGATTCCTCTCTCTCTTTCACTTACATAAATATTTGTTGCAGCATCTGTTACATATTTACAAGATGCGAACATATTAGGCTCTGAATTTAGTATTCATCATTGTGCTGAAGTCTAGTTTCGACAGACGTGAAGGTATTAGTTGAGACGTGTGTGTAGGCTTCAAAATGTTGATAAGCATTTTTTGTCGCCTGGTTATCCAAAAATATATCTTCTTGATTCATATCGTGTGCAATAAAAGTATTACAAAGTGGGATATCTTTTTCAATTCGAAGTTTAAAGAGGGTTTGTGTAACTGCTAGTTTCCAGTGATAGGTGATTTAGTTTTTTTTATCTATGATGTCGTAGGCAGTAGGGGTATCTATGATGTAATAGCTTCCAGATCTTTACTTACCTTTGTCCCATACCCATTGTCAGTTTAGTGCCTACCAAAAGCACCAAGAAAAACAATTACAAATTCCGTGTTTTAATCTGAATTTTATCAATGCTCATTCCATTACTTATTTCGGTGACTACAGGCAAGGTATGTTGTTCGTGTTAGTTTTTCTCAAGATTTATCAACAATTAATTTATTTTATGTCTTAGGGACTAAACGTAAACATTGATAAATTCAGTCTTTGTGAGACTTTGAGCTACCAGAAACGTACCGGGATAGACAACCTAATCAATATTGAAATCTAAAATATTCTCCTCATCAATAGAGCAACAAGCATGGATGTTAACCGATTTATTTTGGTGACCATATAAGTAGACACCTGTTCATCTAATCGGAGCTTCTGATGCTATCAATCCGTACAGTCCCATGTAACAAGGCGTCTTATCAATTTATGATCTTCAGTTTCCAAAGTGTTTCTGATCATTATAATTTAAAAGCGGCGTACCTTTCACTCAAGGGGACCAATTAATTCTTGCTCGATACATTAAGCGTTCAATAAATTCTCAAAAAAGTCCGCGTTTACCGATAAGAGGAACGAGTTCGGGACCTCTTCTTTAGATTAAAAAGGTTTTATTTATCTTGGACAATTTGTTAATGCCACTCTTCATGCCTTCCGGTAGCCGTGTAATTGAATCTTCTGGTTTTTGGAGATTTATTACAGCCATTTGATTGAGCTACCGTCCTTTGATTAGCGGCACTATTTGAATCTTCGCCGCCATCATTTCTGTTTCCTTTTTTATTTATGTTATTACGTACATTTTTCAAATGTGTTTTCTCTCTTGCGTGTCATTTGTAAAATGAGGTGTTACTTTTTTTGAAATAATTTATGTAAGCTCATTAAAATTTTGCGAACGGTTTCTCTTAACGTTTTCTTACTTTATTACAGTTTTTCTTACGTATAATTATATGCTTCATTGGATGCAGATAATAGTAGTGTTATACGCACAAAAGTGATATAAAACCGTGTTATTGAATTTTTATTTTTGTTCATGCACGCTTAATAGCTTCTAAAGAAGTTTTTAAGTGAGCCACTGCGGAGGCTTATGTAAACAATTTTCTATAGAACCTTTTACGGTTGTCACTTTGGCGGTGTTGAAATATGAAAGGTATATCTCGAGAATAATGCAGCGGCATCTCTTTGTCCGTTGAGAAATGACGGGGGTTGATAGAAAGTAAGTGCTATCTACATATTGGACGAAATTATTAAGATTAGAGGAGGTGATGATGGAATGCGAAATGTCCGTCGGCGACACAGTGACCCGTAGTGTGCTGCGCCCGATACGATCGGCAGAAGGACGAGGCGGCAGCGACGATCGCGTGAGATACTCCCGCGCACGTCCGCGCTGCCCTCACGATCCTGCGCCGTTATTTTAATTTATCTTTTCTTTATCCTTGTTCTCTTTCGAAATGTTTTCTTTCTTCTATATTGTTCGCAGATAAACATTATAGTTTCTGCCATCTGTACCTCTGTGTTATCACGACATCGTCAGGTCGTTATAATATGGTATATCGTTTGCCGCGCCATGTTAAATGATTTTAGCAGTTATGTAAATTAGAGCTTGTTAGTCGTAAGAAATTCTGTAAACGAATGGTCGTTAGAAAATATTTCTTAACTGATATCTAGTTCCTGTATTATATGAATTGGAGTTTGTCAGTCTTGAGCTCGGTGAGGTGAAAAGTTTTATGCAAAATAGTGCCGGCACCGAAGACGAAGATATAAATAATGAAATTGATGGCTATCTCATTGTTCACACCAGAAGGCGTTTTGTTCGCGCCTCGCCCTGCCAAAATCTCGCCATGAATTCTCGGTACACTATAATGAACTAAATCAACCAGTGGAATAATGGCGGCCGCTTTCCGCAGCTCATAAACTATACTGATCGGCTGTGCGCTTGCGATTACAATATTTTCTGTCGGACAAGCCTTAACGATACTTTAAACGGTGCTTCGTCCAATTTTCGCACCTCCATTTCTTATTTGCGCGCTCCCCGAATTCAATTTAAGACACATCGATTTTTGTGTGGTATATTTTAAAAATTTTAAATTATGATAATGACGAGCACACCATAGGCGGTCCGGTGATAATTTCTTAAAAATTACACAAACATCGAGAATGATCGGTTCTGTATGATCGTATAATTGGCGTTGTAAATTTTTTTTTACTGGTGATGACGATCCGATAACCGCTACTAAAAATTCTCATTTAAAACGAAATCAACTCGTTTTTGTACTCGAGTAATTTAATTAAATTAAACTTTTATTAAAATCGATTTGAAACCCGTACGGTCTACAGTTAGGTGTGTACATTCCAAATTCAATTCGAAATGTTTTTATTATTGATTTCGAGTACCTACCTATTAAATTATTTTTTTCGATAACAGTGAAATACTTACTAACAATAAATTAAAAATTACTTAGGGCCTATTTCAAACTAATTAGTTAAGCTGACGTAAGGTTATCGAACTCATTTTATTCGGGAAGATAATATGTCAAATTATCTAAACTTAACCTAAGTCTACTAACCGAAGTCTAATTAATACCTTGGTTAAGTTACACACAGCTTTGGGAACTGGTAAAGTCCACAAGTGTCCTTTTATCTCAGAAAAGTCTCAAAAAATATTTCATATTATCTTTTAAAACTAAAACAGTTATACATTTTGAACTATCGAGACCTATTTCTCGTCACGTCAGTCGGTCATCGGGTTGCGTAACTGCGTGTCCGTAATTTCATTGACGAAAAACCTTTCAGTGTTGCCAGTCACGCAAAGCCAGCGATTGCCAGTGTCGACTCAATAAAACATTCGATAATGTTTTTATTTCACGCCA